GACAAATAAGTTCGACAAATACAAAAAAAACAAGGAATTGTAGTTTAGAAACTATGAGCAAATCCTCTACTTCTTGTGGTAACGTTCCCTGTCTTGAAAGTGTGTGTAGGGATGAGGACAAGGTTGAAGACACATTTTCGAAGCAGACAACCTTAAAATAGCAATTGGAAGAACTCACTCATAGTTTCTAAACTGCAATTCCTTGTTTTTTTGTATTTGTCGAACTTATTTGTCTAAATTATTAGATATCTCAAATGTTAGTATTTTTTTGAATAATTTAATTAGCGTCAATTTTGCTTTTACATTTAAGATTTAGCGCCTGTGTTTAACAAAAAGCCTTCGTTTTTTTTTATAATAAAAATTTCGACCAATTTTCTCTTCCATCAATTTTCGTATCGCCCAATTATCGGCGACCAATTTTCGTTCGACCAATTTTCGCTTTCCCAAACTTTTGTTTTTATTATATGACACCAGTTTCTTATTTAGATTTTCTCTTCCGAAGAGAAAATTTCAAAGTAGACGAGACTGAACACCTTTTTTTCGTAAGTATAGATAAATTATATGTCGTACAATAAGTACAAAGCCCAGTAGAGGTAAGACGATCTCGTGAGTAGTGTTGCTCTTTCACACTGGATAAAATATTGTACATCAGCATATTTATTGATATAGGACACAAAAACTTTTGATTGTAGAAGCATATTCACCATTAATTTCACCTTGTTGAGTTAGTCAGCGTCTTTTAATTGGATAATTTTTGTTTTTCAGATTATATCTGTCTTTAATGAGAAAAGAAAAACGTAAATCTTTAAGAGAAAATAAAATTTTTATAGAATTATAATTATATTATATTCGAATATATAAACTAAATTTTTGCTTAAACTTCTGAATGCTTTGCTAAATTATGTAATTAATTACTTGTTTTTTTGAATTATAATTGAGATTTTTGTCTTTGCTTTAATAAAGATAATGCACAAGGTGGAGACCAATGAGGAGTTTTTACTGGTCTTGAAAGCAAAGAAATTCGTCGTGTATTTATTCGAAAGGTTTGTATTAATCGAAACCTACAAGAAAATAATCTATTTTAATAACTTTATATAAAATAGGTTAATATAATTCTTATGATTCAATTATCGATTACATTTGGTTGTATTGCATTATTTCATTTTACGTATGTTTATAATTTTTCTAATCAGATATTTTAAAGTAAATATATAATATAGACCACCGGTCCGTGAATATGTACAAAGTCAAAATGGCAGATGGCTTTATTTTGCATCATATGGTGTTTTCCTGGTTACTTATTTTGCATTGGTTTGTTCACAACGTGCAGCACGAAGATATCCACTTAACCTTATTTTACTTGGCATTTTGGTAAAATAGAAAATTAAATTAATTAAAAAGTAAAGTTTTTATTTTTAGACATTATCAATGAGGTATATGGTATGGTTCAATTTGAATATTATTTATTCTTTAGAATATTTCTTTTTTTTGAAAAAAACTTTAGATGGGTGTGATTTCAGCATATTATAAAATTGAATCAATTTTGATTGCTGTTGGTATAACAGCAGTTGTTTGTTTCGGTGTCACATTATTTTCATTTCAAACAAAATATGATTTTACATCATGTTTTGGAGTTTTATTTGTTATGTCATTAGCACTTTTAGCTTTTGGAATTGTTTGTGCTTTTACTTATTCAAGAGTAAGGATTTTAATAAAACAAAATATCTAGGATATGTTTTTCAACAATAAATTTATTTGTTTTAGATATTGTATACAGTCTATGCTGGTCTTGGAGTTGTAGCTTTTTCGATTGTAAGTTTTAATAATCACGAAATCGAAAAAAAATGATTTTCTATTGTTAGTTCTTGGCTGTTGATGTCCAATTAATTATGGGTGGAAAACGACACGAAATAAGTGCTGAAGATCATATTTTTGCATCACTTATGCTTTATATTGATATTATTTATATATTTGTATTTATTCTGAGCTTGGTCAGTAATCGGGAATGAAATTATCATTTAACAACGATATTTTAGTATTTTTCATACCAAATATATTTATTATCGAGCAGTTTTCTTTCAATTTTTTGTTGTCCACATCTTCTTCTTCGTCTTTTTTCATTTTTTCTATTGAATATTCAACGTTTGCTTCAGTAAGATTTCATATATAAACATCTACATGTATACTTAATCATGCTTGTGAAGAACAATAAATTTATATTTGTGCGTCTTTGTCACATCATCATTGTGTGAAATCAATAATAAACAAAAGAAAACCTTTAATTCAAGGTCGAGGGTGTGGGTGTAGTTTTCTTCTTTATAAACATGGATACCCACACTTCAAATAATTAATCCCAACATTGATCTGATTCTATTAGGATCCATTAGAATCCATCAGTATCCACCAGGATCCATCGGGATCCACAAGCATCTACTGGATCTGAGGATCCAGGATCCGATTTTCTTCCTTGTGTGTACTTCTTTTACACTCACATTCCCTTCTATTTTTTGTTGATTTTAACCATCTAGTTTACTCTATTCATTCTTGTTAAAAATTTTGCATTTACTCACATGTCTGTACAATTGGGTGAGTTTATTCTCTTTTTTTTGTTGACTTCAATCGTCAACCTTGCCCAATTCATCATCGTTTTAAATTTTGCAATCACATTCACAACTACAGTTTTTTTTTCGTTCGGTTACCTTCCCATGTTGTTTTTGTTATTCATAGTCTGCTTCACAGAACTCGTCAATATTAATAAAACTGCATCTGTTTTTTAAGACTACGGGTGTGGGTGTGGGGTATGGGTGTGGGTGTGGTGTGTGTGGGTGTGGATGTGGGGGTGTGGGTGTAGCTAGGGTGTGGTTGTGGGGGTGTGGGTGTAGCTAGGGTGTGGTTGTGGGTGTGGATGTGGGGGTGTGGGTGTGGGTGTAGCTAGGGCGTGGTTGTGAGTGTGGGTGTGGGTATTTATATGTATCAAATTCCGATGCACACCGACACCCACACCCACCCAACGCACACCGACACCCACCCACACCCACACCCACACCCCACCCACACCCACATCCATACCCACACCCCACCCACACCCACATCCACCCCACACACCCACACCCATACCCACACCCCACAGCCACAGCTACAGCCAATTCGATAACAATGTAGAACAGTTGAACGTTTTATCTAGTATTGTTTTTCATAGAAAAACAATAATTAATTGACGATTTTCAATAGAATCAAATTGTTTTCTATAAAATGATTTAATCGAGAGTTATATCATTTTATATTAAAATGAAATTTTTCGATATATTTCTCTATTTTTCCCTATAGTGACAGGCAAAATTTTAGAGTAGTTGTATTTTTGAGTTTTCTTCACGATGTTAATAGCTAAACATAATCTGAAAATGCATTTGAGTAGCTGAAAGGGTTTTCTATAATGATTGATGAGTCCAAAGAACCGAAATAATTATTTGAATGGAGGTACCGGCAAAACCAAGGCCCTTAAAATCATTTGACTGACTTGTATTTAAACTCTTTAGAAAAAGATTTTATTTAATACAACAAATTA